TCCTTTCCTTCCTCCTATCTTTTCTGTCTCTCTTTCCTTCCCTTCCCTCCTCTTTCTCTTCTTCCCCTTCCTCCCCTCATTCTCATTTTTTTCCCCTCCCTGCCTATCCTCATTTTCCTTCCTTCCCTTTCTCTTTTCTCCCCTCCTTTCTCTCTATCTTCCTTTCCCTTTTCCCTACCTTTCTCTCTTCCCCTTCCTCTCTCCCCACTCCTTACCCCATCCCCTCTTCCCTCCTTTTCTCTCCCTCTACTCCTCCCCTTTCTCTCTTTCTCTTCCCCTCTCTCTTATCTCCCCCTCCTCTTCCCTCCTTACCCCTTCTCCCCTTTCTCTCTTCCTCTCCCCTTTCCCGCTTTCTCTCTCCTCCTACCCTCCCCCGCTTTCTCTTCTCCCTTCTCCCCTTTCTCTTTCCCTCTCCCCCCCCCCCTTTCACTCTCCCTCTCCCCTCCTCCTTCTCTCTCGTTTCCCCCTTTCTCTCTCCCTCTGGTTGCCCTCCCCTTTATCTCCCCCCCCCCAACTCTTTCCTCCTTACCCCCTTCTCCCCTTCATCTCCCTCTCCCCGACCCCCCTTTCTCTCCTCCTCCCCCTCTTTCCTCCTTACCCCCTTCTCCCCTTTCTCTCCCCTCTCCCAATCCTCCTTCTTCTCCTTGCCCGCCTCTCTCTCCCTATGTTCCCTCCCCTTTACCTCCCCTTCCTCTTCCCTCCTTGCCCCCTTCTCTCTCTCTCTCTCACCCCCCCCTTTCCTCTCCCCTCTCCCCTCCCCCGCTTTATTTCTCCATCTCCCCTCTCTTCCCTCCTTACCCCCTTCTCCCTCTTTCTCTTCCCTTCTTCTCTCCCTTCCTTACCCCGCTTCTCCCTATCTCTCTCTATCTTCCCCCCTTTCTCTCATCTTCTCCCCTCCCCTCCTCCTTTCTCTCTTCCTTCCCCCTTTCTCTCTCCCTCTGTTTCCTCCCCCTTTATCTGCCCTCCCTCTCCCCCCCTTTCCCTCCTTACCCCTTCTTCAATTGTCTCTCTCCCCTCCCCCTTTCTCTCTCCCCCCCCCTCTTCCCTCCTTACCCCCTTCTCCCCTTTCTCTCTCCTCCTCCCCTCCCCCTTCTCCTCTGCTGAATTTTCCGGATTGTAATGATCTCTATCTAGATTTTTTTTGCGCGTACATCCTTTCGTTCGGTCATGCGAAAACGCGAGATTGCACGTGGCGAAATTAGGCTGAAAGAAGAGGGGAATAAGAGGAAAGAGGAATAAGAGGAGGAAAGGGCAAGAGGTAGGAGGAAGAGAGGGGAGAGGAGAGGGAGGAGGAGAACGAGGAAGAAGGGGGGGGAAGAGAGATAAGAGAGGGAGAGAGAGAGAGAGGAGAGAGAGAGAGGAGAGAGGAGAGAGAAGAGAGAGAGAGAGAGGAGAGAGAGAAACAAGAGAAACAAAAAAACAGACAGACATACAGACAAGAGAGAAACGATTAATGATAATAAAAGAAAAAATAAGAGAAGCAGAGAGAGGAATGATAATGATAATAATGTTAAAAATGGAAGAGAGGAGAGAGGAAGGGATATTATGGAAGAGAGAGAGAGTATAATGTATTGTTGTACATATGTAAGCGCGCGCGTGTGTGTCATCTGATTCAACGTTATAGCGTCTGTCTCACTGACAAAAACTGTAAACGCATCTTTTGAGGTTCGTTTTTTGCTTGTTTTGTTGTTCAGTGGCTGGTGTCACCCCCCCCCCCATCCCCCCCACCCCAACCCATCCATAACATTACAAAATGATAATGATGATAATAAAGAGTTATAATAGAAAGAGAGAGAGAAAGAGATAGATAGAGATCATAGATAGAGAGAGAGAGAGACGAGAGGAGAGAGAGACTAGAGAGAGAGAGACGAGAGAGAGAGAGAGAGAGAGAGAGAGAGAGAGAGAGAGAGAGAGAGAGATAGAGAGAGCAGAGAGAGAGAGAGAGAGAGAGAGAGAGTGTAAATATATATGTGTTGGTAGGATAGATGGACGTCCTACCCCCTACTATTACTTGTTGTGAGTTAGGTCGTGGCTGAGCCGGTAAGGGTAGGAGTAAAGTACTAAGACACCTGAAGATGTTGGTCTGAAGTTAAACTTGTCGCAGCTTTCTTGCCTTTTTCTGGGAACTGTACAGAGGCAAGGCAGGGACGTCCAAGGAGCGCGTCCTGCCAAGGCGCAGAGCGCAAGCGGTCTGAGTGTATGCAACAGGAATTGCCATGACCAAAAGTCGTTTTGAAACAATACAACATAGCGAAAAACATGAGAAGATCATGAGATACTGAAACATAGATTTAGAAGATATTAGGTCACTTATTGACGTTTCAGTGGAGAGGAACAAGTATGGTTTGTCATAGGCCCGTACTTGTTTAAAACCTTCGCCAGTGCTGGCGTTTCGCCGCGAAGCTTCCCAGGCGAACCTCTTGAGTGAGGACGCCTACTTCTTAAAACCCAACGTCCAGGCGCTAACATCTTGCATATGCCGCTAAATCTTAGCGCAAATTTTGTTGACATCTGGCATGCTGCACATAACATAAACCTAAACTTAATTATTAACCTCGAAGAGAAGACGAAATGTTTCTCAATAGTCTCACTTTATACAAACCAAAGGAGTTAAAATTACTTTATGCGTGTAACAAAGAAATTGAAAATTCTTGTATA